TGCAAGTCCAAGATGTGTTTGTTTGGGGGTACTTGGACCCTTTGGGTAGGACACTTCGAATTGTATTTCTACAGAGTTGGACTGTGGCGTGTGTCCTGTTTGAACTGGACACAGCGGATGCTCTAGAGTTGCATGTGCATTGTGTTGTTTGAATATCATGTTTCCCAGCTGGTTTAGAGGATTCTTTGGTAAAGCTGGTTTATTTGTTGGGAAACCGTTGTCCTGGAGCAATAAGTCAGTTGCCTTTCGACTTTGCTTTGACCTTTTTTCCGAAAAGGATGTGTGGGCAAATTAGTTCATTTTTTTTGTTGATCCGGGGGCAAATCGAGCTCAGGCCCTTGAAGGGTCCCAAGTTTGCTTTCAGACACTGCTGACACCGTTGTTGATGCACCCTCGAATCTAAGGAGGTGATGTTTCCCCGTTTGAACCCCCCAAACACAATTTTGACAGGGAACCAAGGGGGCCTTTCGGAAAGGAGGTTGCTGAAGACATAGCGGTCTAAAGGTGCTTAAACGAGGGGCTGGCCCAGCCCACATGAGCGACCCTTCCACTTACCCCCCAATTTGGGCCTGCTTGGCGCTCCAGGAAAAAGCCGCGGGGCCAGGGGTTCAGCTCGGGTTTTGAGTCAGCCCCCTTGCTTTTACGGACGTTTACGGACGCCTCAAGTAGTTCCTCTTTGAAGGTACCCATGTTTTCTGCATCAAAAGCAATTTCGTCCAACTCTTTGCAAGGGGTTTCAGCCAATGGTGCAACCTTCCTGCAGGCAGCGCCGTCAAGAGGCGTTGAATGCCATTTTATATGCAAGCAGCTTTGGCCGCAGGAAGACGGGTGCGTCATGAAATTGGGGGAGCCCTTTTTGGTTTGGTGTCAAAGGGAAACCGAGGAAACCAACCGTTTTAGGTGTTGCCCTGCTTTGAGGCAACCCCTGTCGCCAGGTTGCGTGTTGATCGTCGTGGGAAACAAAGGAACCTCGGAGTCTACGCCTTAGGGTCCCTTTTTGTAATAGGGATGTCTGATTGTTGGATTCTTATCATTCACCCAGAAGATGTATCGGACTTGGATGTTCGCGAGGCACGGCGAGTGTTTGTTTAGTAAGTAATGGTGACAACTGATTTGTAAACCCCCCCCTCCCCCCCCCCTTCAAGGTCGACAAGGTTTGGACAAGTCCCAAAAATTGAGATTTTTGGGAGGACCCCCCTGGTTACTCTGGAGCCCCTTCGGTCCTCGTCCTCTTACTTCGTGAGCTTGAAAACCTTGTCAATAAAGAAAAATGCATTTCGGGGGAAGCACATTTTTGGGAAAAACTTGAGGGGTTCAAAAGTGACTTAGTATTGGTGGGTTTAAGCACAGACTAAGCAAATACTAAGCAAGAAGGAAAGCACCTTTTCTGGCAGGTTTTTGTTGGCTTGCGGGCTGCAGAGGGATACCTTTAATCAGGGGGGGTTTTGGGGAGGGCCCACAAATAATTGGGTAGGTTTTTTTGGGGAAACCTTGTTGGCACTTTACTTTAGTATTGGTGAGAATCTGCGGGGGAAAAGGGGGAACCTTTAATCGGGGGGGGGTGGTTACTAATCGTCTCCTGACATTAAGCCGGATCATAGTTTAGGTTGTGCTGACAGTGTTGACCAGCCCCAACCCCTTCGAAAGTGACGGGGGTGGCCCTGGAGTTTGTTTTGTTAGCGTGAACCTCACTTGTATTCGTGGTGGCTCCGGAAATGCTGTTGGTTGTGTTGCACCCTAGCTCAACCGTGATCAGTACTTGCTTGTGAGCAGTTTGTGAAGAAACCAAGATCCACCATACGTTCTCATGGGAACACCCCAAGTCCGATCTGGCAAGGTTTGCTCTGATCCGACACCTGGACCGTTTTGCAAGCTACCTGTATTGCCCTTAAAGACTAGATGAGACATATCACCTGTTCGGCCCTTTCAAAGTGAGTTTCTGGCAAGTTGTAGGGGGAACTATAGGGAGCCCTGAGTGTCAAGGACACCGTCAGAGTCACTTTACGCAATGGGCTGTGCTTGCATTTCAAAAGGAGTCTAGGTGAAAACTGTTGGCAGGGGTTTACTTCAATTGCTCAGGGGAACACTGAAATGGTGCGCAAAAAGCAGTTCCGATCAAATTGATGTCCACCAAAGGTCCCTCGTTAAAATTCATACCCATGCATTTCCAGTCAGACCCCAATGTGACGTTTGCTATTGGTATTCCTTCAAAGACGACCATGGGGTGCTCAAGATTTGGTCACAGACCCACTAGGGTCCAGAAAGACAAGCCTCCGAACCACGGCTTTTCGAGGAGCAACTACGGCACCAAAAACGAAACGTGGATGCTGCTTGAAATGAGCGTTCCGCTGGTATCAACCCAAAGCAGTTGCTTTCCCATGTCACATGAGGAGGTATGGCCCATGCGCTAAATATTGCAAGTAAACGAACCACACTGAACCACAAAACCATGGTAAATCACGGGAGGCCCTTCCAAACCCTAAAGATCCCGCCATAGGGAAAGATCCCGCCATGGAGGAATGGAATGCCCAAGAACCATGAGCAATCCCCAACCCGCAGAACCCTGAGGAATCCTACAGAACCTAGAGGAAGCCTGAGGGAATAATTTACCCCCCCCCCCCCCCCCAAGGAGTTCCGCATGGATTTGGGGGATTACTGCAGCCTTTTGGCAACTCTGTCGCCTTCGTTGACATCTATTTGCCTTGGCCCATTGGCAGGGGTCTGATTGATATATGTCCCACACTGGTGAGGTTGGGTCAACATAGCTATTAGCGTATTGTCAACCTGGGGTTCGCAAACAACCAGGTGGACTTACTGAGTCATCACTAGTTGCCCCATACTGACGACAAAATCGTTTGCACAGTTTGACTGTGGCTCATGTGTGAATGAAGGACTCGCGTGATCTCAACTCCCCCTTTGTTCGGTCTTGTTTTGACAGCGAGAATCTGGTGCACAGCATGAGCACCTCAGTTTAGGGTTTTGGCTCACGACAAGCCAGCCTGAAATGATAGCGAGTTCACACATTCCCATGTTGAATGCCGATCCCCACCCATAACTTCTCATTTTGCTCATCGGTTTCTTAGAAACGGCATCTACGCCAAACAAGGGGCCATAGCCTTTGACCAGCTGTTTGTCTCCAAGATCCCAACAAGAGGACACTATCCCAAATTACATTATAGCCGTCTGAAGGGGTGGAGACTCCAGGCACTTTAAGCTAATCCACCCAAAAGAGATGGCATTCCTTTGGCACCAGCTGCTTTCGCGTCATGAACAGCCGCCACTCAGGTTCCCCAAGCTGAGCGCCCTCTTTTTTTTCTCACCCGCGTGACGTGAGACCACAATCAAAACCCGGGCTGTTTGAAGTTTAGTGAGTCCTAGGTGCAGAATAACAAGAAAGACACCCTCTTCATTATTTACACGTCTTGCAAAGTGGAAGCTCCTTTTTTGGGGGGAATGCTTTAAAAAGAGAATTCCAGGGGACACCTGGGGCTGCCATTTGTGTGAAATTGCGAGACCAATCATCTTGGCGCTCGACTTTACTCCGGGTTTTGACTCACACGCCAAGACCTAACAGTTCACAGATCTGCGGTGATGATCGCGCGAAAAAGGACATCGCCACGCCAACTTGGGACCGCATTCGTTTGAGGGAAGCAGCGAGGCCACCCTCAATTGTGTCCGACAGGATCAGTTTGACGCAGATAAGATCTATGTGACATTTGGTCAAGAGATCTGATCCATAGTCCATCATAATTTTGGGAAGGACATGGGGGACTCCTTGAAATGTCCAAGGAACCAGGAGGACTCACAATGTTTGGGCAACTTATAGCGAGGTCATCCAACCTCAAGGGGATTCGACCTAGCAATCCTGAAATAAGGGTCTGGGAGAAATCCTGTTGTGTTATGCCCGCCACCCACACCCGGTGCTTAAATACGCAGTATGTAATGGACTGGACCCCCTGCTGCGCGGAGCCGCGTTTTGGCATGCACATTGAGTCCGTTGCGTCACCCAGAATTCCACTGGGGGTCCAACCTCTTCAATATTGATGGGGTTTCCGAAGTTGCCGTGAGGCGCGGCAGTGCCACAACCTAATTGCCCAACGCTGGCGACCCTTTGGCCTTTCCAGGTCCTTTGGCCGTTTGCAAGCTCTTCACATACTGTGTGCTCCAAATGCCCACTTCTAGGGTATCATGATTCCCGGAGGTATTTACCATGCCGGGAAAGCGGGGTTCTTAACAAATATCTAAAAACATGTGGGTATTTGGAGTAGGTATGTTGACAGTGGCTTCAACTTGCCGTGTCTCTCAAAACCTTCCGGGTTTTAGAGGTGCCAGATTCAGACAGCTGAGCCGATTTGCGGAACTTGGACCACGAGCAACGGTCAAAATGGGCAGCCTTTTTGAGGTTGGTTTATAGGGAAGCCAAAAGGAACACCACTACCACCCATTTTTTAGGTTCCCCTATTATGACACACACACACACATATTTCCTTCTACTGGCAAAGGAAATGAAAAGAGGCACACTTACCAAACTACCGTCAGGAAACAAGGGTTACTCGCCAAAATCGCATGTTATAAGGTAATACACTGTATATTGACCTGCCCACGTTTTGTTTTGGTTTCTCTGGTTTTGGCTCAGATTGCCGTGCCGCGTTTATATTTGCGCGCCGAAACCTTCAAAAGGCCCTGGCTTTACAGCGTTATAGTGACGGCTATAACACCTTGATACAATTGATGGATCAAACAATAAGGCACCACCTAGGATGGAGGGAACTCTACAAAAATTGGCCTGAACCACCCACCAACTGAGGCGAGGCGGATTTTGACCGTGTGAAATATAACGCGAGCTAATTCGGCTGTTGGGCGCGATCCTCATGTGTGCTCATTTGCCAACCATCCCCAAAAGACAGCAAGACATGGGTGTCTTTTTTGTGGGTATCCTTTCGTGGTGGTTGGGGGATTCTGTGGGCCTGCGTGGACAGCCATTGTCGAACTTGCCGCAGGCGTCAGCATTGTCCTTGTGGTGGAGCCGCAGGAGCGCTGGCCGGCGAGTCGCTTCCCGTGCTATGCTCAATGCACCCCTTCAGCGCCCAAAACCCCAAGTGGTCATGACAGTTGGCGCTGCGTTGGGGTGTCAGGAAAAGAGGGTCACATGAATGCTGCAAGTGCCTCTCAGGAGGAGGCTGCTTACAGGCCGGGCCTGTGCTATTGGGAAAGGGATGGCCACCGGTGCCATACGGAAATGTCCAAGCGTGAATATCAGGGCCTGAGCACCAGCCACCTGTTGGTCGTATGATCATGTATTTGGGCTCAAAATCAAGGTCTAAAGTGTCCTGCTCAGATCAGTTTGGTTGAACATAGATGCCACTTGTCAAGCAGCTGAAAACTGTTTGACATGTGTACCAACTAATGTATTAGCAAACCCAGTTATTGGCTGTGAAATAGTTGGATTCTGAGCATGTGAAGGGTGTGTGCGCCAAGTTGAAATCCCATGCCCGCTGAGGTCAAAGGCCCAGCCTTAGAAAACACGCCCAACCAGAGTCGAGGCTGTGATCCTTGAACTCATGAGCGTATCCGAAGTTGTAGACCTCTTCCAAACAAAACGGTCGATTGTCGATTTGTGTCAAAGGCTGATTGTATGGACCCGTGTATGATGCCCTGTCCAGGGCGTGTCCATTTCATTGGCAGCATGCCCTCATTCCGGAACAAGATGCTGCGACTCCCCCTTGATCAGATTTGTTCTCAGGGTTTCAATGGAATGGATGCAGGCCAGTCATGCCAAACAGCAGCTTGGCGAGCTCTTGACTTCCGAGGCATGCGGTAGTGAGTAAAGATGGCTGAGCAGTGAGGGCGCGGCTTGTCCAAGGCATGCTTGGCAAGACCTCCTTTGACAACTTCCAGGCTGCGAAGTACACATAGAAGGTGATGATCGGCTGCCATGGCTGTTGATTTTCCGATGATGTGGTTTGCCGCAACACGTCACATCCCTTGTGGCTCATGTACCCCCTCTACCCACCCACCCACCCACCCACCCACCCACCCACCCACCCACACACACACACACACACACACACACACGCTGGAAAAACAGAAAACAACAAACAAACAAACAAACAAACACACAAACAAACAAACAAGCAAGCAAGCAAACAAGCAAACAAACCGCAATCTGCTGAGAACTCCAGCTAAGTTAAAGCAAATGTGTGTGTTTCCGCTTGACATGACTAATTGAGTTGGTGGTTGAATCGCTCAGTGCATGGGACCCTCAATTCAGGTCCCATTGGCCGGACGCACTGATGCTGGTGCTGCCGAGGCAATTCTTGAGTTGATTCGGTCTGATGCATTCGGTCGAGTCGGGGGTCCGATTCGGGAAGCTGGTTGCAAAGTACAGTGAACGCAGCAACAAGAGGAAATCGGAAACCAACCCCAGACGAATCATATTGCAGTTGCATGGCCATTTAAAGAGTCTTTCCCTTGAATGGCGTACTGCTTGGAAGGGAACTGATTATCATGCCCCTTGCTATACAAATAACTCCATTGGATGTGAGCGGGAAAAAAACTATGGTGCAGTCTCCACCACTTGAAGTCAATGAGCCGGCAAAAATATAGGCACATCAGAACAATATCATTTTGGGGTTAAACAACTCACCCGCGCTGAAGGCTTATTTAAGGTTTGTGAATACGAATTTGCCTTGCCAGAAGTCAGCCATGCGGTCAAGCGAAGGTGTGTATCCAGGTCTAAAGTGATATTTGTCCATGCCCCTTTGAGGACCCGCTCAAAATGTAAATCTGCCCACCATGGTTTGCTAATGCTGCGCGAATCGCAGACCCCAGACTGGGCTCGGGGTTCCCTGATGTCCATTTGGAGCAACCCAAACAGGGATACCCTCAACAAAGTTCTTTTCACATCGTAGCCAGAATAATCAGTGAATGTGATGGCACTGCGCTGGATGCCCTAAATATTGCAAGGACATCTCCAATTTGCAAATCATGTACCACGGCTACCACGGTCTCGTGTTTGACTACCGTTGGCTTACGTGCGCTCATCAAACCCAGTCTCGCGCCCGCAGGCCCGCGGGCAGCGCCATTGGCTACAGCCGGTGGCTGGTGCAGAAGCTGTGCACCGACTCGGACGCAGGCGACGGGTTGATTTTCCTGGACCCAGTGCAATTGAAGTTCCACCACAGTAGGTAGCAAGGGGAAGCCATGATATTAAACCTAGAGGAAGAAATCCTGTTTCTACTAGAAACAGGGTAGAAACACCTGGAATGCCACTATGGTGGACACTTACCAAAAACAGAAAGTGGTGTGCACCAAACCAAGATGGGGTTGAACCAGTCCGGTGTCTACAAAGTCCAAACACCAGGTTAAATACGGATTCGGTTCCTTTTTCAGAATTGGTTCCCTTTCCGGGTTTCAGACTATTCCCTAAAACCAGCGGGACAACGATTTCGCCCAGTTTTGGTGCTCCACCGGCCACTTTGATATGGAGTCGCCATGACCTCCGCTCAAAACAGGTGCTTCCTGTGCACAAAGCCATGTCTGTTGCCTGGAGGAGAAAAGCCAAGTTGGGAAGGCTTATGAATTTGCACAAGTTATAATGAGCTCACCTGGGGATAAAAGCAAGCGCCCGTGGTGAAGGTCCCTTATCAGAAACTTCCTTCGCTTGTGTGAATTGAATAGCACCAGAAATGCACACTATAGAATTATGGAGTGGAACAAACAGCAGCGCGCCAACCACAAAAGCTTTTTGTGAAAGCACCTAAAGAAGGGCTCGACTCGAAGACGTCAGGCCATGGTAGGTAATCAACAAGAAACCGTCAGAAGCAAAACCTGAAAGCACAGCTCCTTGGGATGAGTTTTCATTTGCCCTTCAAACCTGATGTCCCATTGCAGTGGATATGAGGGGCATAACCACTGCTACCCGGCGGTGTCACAGGTGTTTTTAAAGCCAGACCAGGCGAAAGACCCTAAGACTGTTCCTTAGGCCTGTGAGGGTGCATTTGGGTGCCAACTCAATACATGTTCAAAGGTTCTCTTTTTGCATGACAAGACGTTTTTGATCAAGGACCCTATACTGGGGCCAAAACATGCGAAAGACCCGTTCATAGCGCGTTTCAGCCCCTAAGAGCCTTTGCGCTTGCCTGGAAGTATGGCAAAAGCATCCTTTCATAGGCTCTTTGGTCACAGGCCAAAGACTCTTTCACGGGCCCCGTAGTTGTTTGCAAACCCAAGGTCCCCGGCACATTTTTAAATGGTCGAGGGGGGCTGGGTGGCGGGCGTAGTTGTTTTAACTGAACAAAGGAACCACACTCTTTAGTGGGTCCCCTATTTTGAGAACATGGGTCCAGGGTGTGACCTTGGAGTTGCGGCAAAGTGTGGGCGAGTTGAAGGCGGCTGCGGACGCCTTCGTTTGCCTTTCATTTGGATGGCCGCGCTGCCCTCAGCCTGCGTTTGGATCAGGGCAAGTCAGAAACTGACCAAAGATGAAGGTCTAGGCGAACAAAGCGATGTCACGTTTCGGGGGTGGCGACGTCCGAAGTGCTCTTGGGATCCCTTTTTTTGGAGGGTTGGTGAATCATTGCAATTTGCCCAGAAGGTTGCTTACTTGGGGATTCCTGATGTCAGCTTTGTGAGTTATCAGACAAAATGCATCTCGGATAGGATTACGCATTCCCCATTGCGCTAGAGACCAGAAGCTCGACATGATGTTTCCATGTCCCCTTGGAACAACGAGTGTTGTCCGTGCCTCATTTAGCATGGAGCCAATATGGTTCCAATGTGGACCTGGGTTACAATGTGGGGAGAGTGAGTGTGGGGTCACCACAACCAGGCCAGGTACATGTATCATTGTGCGACATCGCCAACACACGCTTTGACCATACCTGCATACAGCCATACATCCATCCATCACAGATCCATACGAACCCACGAAAGGGCTGACGCAATTCGTTTTTTTGGGGGAAGCCGTTTTGGGGCCCTCGCATGCAGCGCGTCGCAAGAAGCGAATGAACTGAGAGCTGGACGCCGAGGACGATTTGCTCCTGAGCTTCTACAGCCGCGAGCCAGCATGGGAGCAACAGGATTTGTTAGTAATGCCTTATGTGGCTTATAGGTGTCGTGTGTGCATTTGAGTAGGTCAGATGTTTGAAGACACCGATGTAGTCCCCTTCAGATGTACCTGAAACCCCAAGGCCATCATTTGTAGAGGAAGCTGCTGTTTTGGGACCCCTTGTTGGGGCTCCATTGGTAATTTGCAGTAGAGTCTTTTCTCGGACAGCCCTGGCCATGTGGTAGAATGTCCAAGACCATGATACTTGCTTGAATGCTATTTTTGGGGTGGGCCTTTAGCATCTAGCTCTTCGGAACTTCATTATTTATGATTTTCCCACTAGCCTGCGAAAAGTGAAACATTTTGTGCAGGGCGTAATGGCTATCAATCTTAGGCAAATGAATCCCAAGCTCGCAAGTCTTGGTTTGAGACTGGCCCCATGAAGGCTTCCTTGATCACAGCCTTTCAGGTTGGCGAAGTATTCACTTAGAAGACTCTGAGATCAAGCCTACCGTAGGTCCTGTTGCGAAGGGCCCTTAGCCCTCATTCCTATTGTAGCTAGACGCGTGATCAGGCTTAAGCGGGCTCAAGAGTGCCTGGGAGGTGTTCCATTTGGGGCCCCTCGAGATTTGCGGGAATACATACTCGTGAGTCGTGAGTCTTTAAGACATGATTAAGTCAGGGTCTAGTTTGACAGTTTAGGCCTCGCTTGGACCAATTGCAGCTGAGCCTCCGGTTGGTGGTGTGATGTTTAAGGGGTAGCCATCAAGGGGTGGAGACACGCCGGATGTGAAGCTCGGGAGCCAAGGACTCGAAGCTGCAAAGTCGGGCAAAAGGAGTCACCCGGGAAGAGGGGAACAGAGTGGCACTTTGTGTCCTTAGGTAGCAGCACGTATATATGATAGACAGCATATCTGCTATATATGCATATATATATATACAATATATGCACTGTATATGTACATATACAAGTACCCTTTGATTCCAAGCGCCATGGGGAAACACAAGAACACCTGTCACCGGCATCTAAGCAACGCGAGCCTGCTTGCCTGCGGATATACACGGAAAACGCGGAAACAAACTCGAACTCGAGATCACAGCATGCTATATGCATTATATATATATACATAATTTTCATGGTTGCTAAATATATATCCATTACAGTTCTATATATATATACGGTGGTGGCACATGTATTTTTATTGAGTCATGTTAACACCTTGTTTTTTTTTTTCTTTATTGTTGTGTTTTAGACGTATTGGTCATGTTTGTTTTGCTTGCTGAACCTCACATGATGTTGTGCCAGGTTCTCTGTGCTGTGAGCGGCCATGTTTGCTGGTCGCGAAAGCAGCGGCTGGCATTCCGGTGCTGAGATCATGTTGCGATCAAAGTGGGCCACAAGTTCATTGCCAGACGTTGCTCGCCTTTTTGAGCCCGGGCCTTCTGGGTTTCCTTCAGGTTTGCTTACATTTGTTAACAAACCAATATTTTGCATGGGTCTGACCTTGCTTGCCTGAAAGTTTTGGGCTGGAAAGGATGCGTTTTGTCCAACGCAAAGGGAGTTGCTCAAATTACAACGAGCTCACCGACGGGGGGGGAGAAAGGCCCTTACTTGGGGATTTCTTAGCCAACCCAAACGCGAGCCCAACAAACACAGATGGCCTTGCAAAGGGTGCTTACTCTCTGAGAAGTTCTCATTTATTTGGAAAATCCCTGGTATGTCCCATCGTGCTTTCTGCTCATCTTAGGGCGGAGTCTACGTGTCGTTTCAAGGGGGGTTGATTCAAGGGCTCGTTTTCAAGGTCTCGTTGGTGAGGGGGGTGATTTTTGTTTACAGAGTTTCTCAAAGTGCCCGTGCGCAGGACCCGGGTGTTGCGAGCTCTGCCTAGGGCCGGTTTCCAAGAGGCTGGCGTTGGTCGAAACCGATGCTCTTTGGGGGGAGGTTGTCAAACGGGGCCCGTTTTCTCCTTTAAAAGCCCCCCCTATGGGATTGAATGTTGAACCTTGTCGCTTGTGTTTCCTTGGTTTTTGTTTCTCCGAAAATGATGAGCTTCCCACTGTGGGGCCACTGTGCTGCTTGGGGAGCCCGATTTTAACACCATTTTAGCACCCAAACGAAAGCCCAAAAGACAAAATATATAGGCTTGCACCATGCTTCATGATCAGGGACGAAATTACATATCAGTGCATATTGTATATACATGTATATATACATACATAATACAACACACGCCTGATGTTTTGTTTACAAACACACATGCCCACATATACATATATCTCTATGTACACACATACAGACGCATACGTACATTCTTGCTTATGGTGTGTTGGAGAGGTAAATATGTTTAGGTAACCCTTATTTGCTGGTTTAACTGGTTTGGGTCAGGGATTGAGGGATTGAGTCCCAGTTCCTTCGGAAGCCAAACACAGGGAAGCTACCTATCCTCCAACACCAATTCGTGGCTTTCCTGCAACACTATTCAATATGTATTTGGACATGGTGTTTGCTGTGACTCCAGATCTCGTCCAAGAAGCATATATATATATATACGACATGGGTGTGTTTGTTTGTGGGGAATCCCCTTTGGGTGGGTTTTTAGAGAGAATCCAACCATTTTGGGGGGTTCCGCTATCTTAAGCTGCCACATGTGCAAAACCTGCAGGCCTTCCTGGCCGTGCAGCGCCGAGAGGAGCTGCGAACCCTACACCTGGTGAATCAATTGGGTGTTCCCATTGGTCAGGGAAACCGACTAGCAGGGATACAGGGGGAATCAGGGATACAGGAGGATTCCCCCAAATGCACCTTGACTAAGTCTATCCCCGCTCCCTCCGTATCCCCGCTTGTTTGTTTGTCCAAATTGGTGAAGGTTTTTCTCGAAGTTGGGACATGCTGCCCTATTCGAATGGGTGGTACTTTTCTGCAAACGGAAGGAAACCCCCAAACAAAAGTCCGTTTCCCAAAAGGAGAGTCCGATCCTAAAGCGGATGGGGTTGGGGTTCCATGCTGATTTGCAGAAAAGTATCCTGCCACAAAACATGAAAGTGCACACCTCCCGGAAAGGGTAGCTGCAGGCACACACTGTTTTTTTTTCCCCGAAACAGATGGCAACACTTTCCAAGCCTGGACAAACCGCATAAATGAAGAATCGGCATGGTCCCCCGCAAAACCACGGCCCTTACAGGAAGATTCGGGGAACCTCCAAGTATGAGGCTCGCTATCTAGGGGGTCCAATCACGGTTTCTCCAGGTGTACAGCTTGGTTTATGGGGTACTCGAACCAGGAGGCCCCCTTCTTTGGATTCCGCCGGCGTCAATGTAGCCAAAGGAAAGCCATCCATTGCTGTGAGTCACGAATAATTTTGAGGGTTGATTCTTTTCATTGCGTTGTTCAAAATCTTTTCCGGACAGTGGCTTTCATTTTCTTGCTGTGATTCTAGATGTTCCCTTCTGGTTTGAAATGGACATTGGCATGACCGGTGTCTACACGAGTATTTTGTGGCGCCAAAACTGCACACAAAGATTCTTGGGAGCCTTCCGGGCCTTCCGGCAGCCTTCCATTCTTTTCACCCATCGGACTGTTGTTTTCTGCTTCTTTCCCATGGTCCATGATGCGTCGGTTGGTCTGGGTGATACTAGACCTGAGATGTTTTCCCCAACAAAGCCACGTACTGTTCAAGCGTTGCCCAGTGATCGTGTTGCCATTGCCATGGGTGTGGGTGCACTCTGTGTGCCAAGTTCGATTGTTCCTGACCAATGACGATGGGGTTGTGTGGTTTCGGGGGTTTGTAACAGATAGCAAGGACAGGGGGAAAAACCATGGGAAGTTCAGAAACATCCAGAGAAGCTTGAGGTGTGGCTGAGGCATTGGGTGTGCGCTTCGGATTGGGCAAACACATGCAACTCAGGTTTGTCTCATTACTCGGGAAGCCCAACAATGGCTTGGTTCTTTTTGGTGTTCCTTTAAAACCTCAAAAAGCCTTCTTTCAGAAGAACATAACACATGTGTACTTCTCGAGCTTGGCTCAGATTGGCTTCCTCAGAAGATCATGCGCAGCGAGCGTCATCCGCTGGCAACCATAGGGCAAAGCAGCCTCTCTTGGATCTTTAACCATGCTTAACTTTGAACTTGCTGTTGAACATTTTTATTTTCCCACCAACCTTCAAAGCCACGTCACACTCGAGCCCACTGAACAAGTTGCAGCCGAACCATGTTTCCATAATTCTTAGGCTACATGGGTGTGTGTTTTTTGAGGGTGCCTGTTTGTTATGGTTTCAAAAGGAAACCGCCAGTTCAGAGGTGCCATACAAAAAGACACACCCATATTTATCAAGTTTGCCCTTGAGTACTGGTTTGAGGCTAGTGGAAATCATCCAAGATCCTTGGTGTTTTTTTTTCTTCTGCGTGAGGACGTGTGCCGGATGGCGGTGTGCGGGTTCCTGCGTGACCGCGGCTCCGCTGTTTTGGTGCGCAGACCTTGGCAGCTGGACAGCTCTTTGGCGCTGCAGCGCCTGGAATCAAAAAGGCGTCTGTTGGAACCTCACAGAATCTTTCGACCCCGAAAAACCGGCTTGTCAAGCCTGTAACCTACGTGGGAGTTGCTGGGTTGTGTAAATTGGGTTGGATCTTTAGCCTCTTGTTGTTTTTTTTATTTGGGGGGCCCAGATTGAGGATTCTCCCTCAAATAAACAAATAGGAGTTTATTAATCATGAGTTCCCTTTGCCTACTTACTTTCCTTGTTTCTGGGCTTGAGACACGTTTTAGGTCCGACCTATAGTCAACAACAGTCGGGTTATGTTTTCGGACCAATCCTTTTGAATAGACTCCTCCACTTCCGTGGTTGGGGTCCAGGTTTATCAGGACCCAAGTTCCCGCAAGGTGTGCAAGTAGAAGTGTCTTGCAATGGGCCCCAACGGGGAATTGTGTCAAAGGGTGTTGACACGGTTGCCTACTCCTTAATAATCATGACCTTTTCGGATATTTCGAGCTTCCTTTTGCTTGGTGAAAGGGATTGGACACTTATTAGCCCTTTGATTTTCGTCGGGGCTGCTCCAAGCCTTAAGGAAATTCCACCTCGCGGTAGATTTGGTGTTGGGTTCTTGTGAGTTCCCTTTCCGGGGAGCCAACCCTGACAAGGCAATTCTCATGGCATCATGGTTTTGGGCAAACTGAGTTTGAAGGCCACTGTGACTCGAAGGGCATCTCCTTTGTTGTGCTCCACCCATGGCTTGTTGAATTGCATGCAGATGAGGGGATATCAGAAGAGTAAGCGGTCGTTAGGTTTCACTTTGCATTGTTCTGTTGTAAGTGCACAGCACCTAGAAGCGAGCTTTTGACCTTGTAGTCTGTCAGCTTTGGTCTGTTAATCGAGGCAACATAGGCAACCAACAAATCACCGATTATGTCTAAGCCTGTTGGGCAAGCGAGAGACCTAACGAAGGTTCCCTGAGGATGCGTGTCAGGTCTCATGTTGGTTTGGGACTTAGTCCTTGCCTTGCCAGGGCTCCTTAAAGGTACATTGCGGCCCTGGACAACATGACCCTTTCCTCCAGACTTTTGTGTTGGGGAGGGGGAGTTCAGGTGGATAATGCTGAAACCTGAACCTTGAAAGGACCTTTTCCTAGAGCAACAGTCCAATCCCTGTGACTGCGAGTATTTCTCGCGCTTCGAGGAAAGTGGTGCTGCTGAACTTGGCGCGATTGCAGGAGCTCCAGGCCCGGCCAGAAGCTTTGAGCTTTTTGGGAACATGTGGCAGTGAATTCTGAATGTTTAGGGGTATACACGTAAACACAGCGGCGGCGTTGATTCCTTACATACCCTACAGCAAGACCCGCTGGCTCATTGCATACCCCCTCGTTGCATACCTTAACTTGCGCTACCAAAGAACAAGCCTGATGCATAGCCAGACTCTAAGTTACTTCCCTTGGGTGCTTGCAGAGAAGACTTTGGCATGCTTTCGCTGGGCATTGTAGAGGGCTTGTTTCATACCTTGTTTCATAAACCATCATGTCTGTCTGTTGAGTGTACCCTTTTTACAACTTTTTACCTTGGTTTGCAGGGACGCCACAAGGAAAGCCACCTTGTTGGGGTCCCCCGATTTGACCCATATGTGAAACATATGCGCTCTGAGCATTTCTCCACGCGGAAAAAAGCGCGCGACGCAGGTGGAGTACTGTCCCTTGCTGCGGAAAAGCGAGGATTTGGCGCTCTGCTATGAGGTGGCCAGGAAGCCGGGAGGCGGCGCCGGAAGTCGCCTGTGATTTACATCAGAATATTTAGTAAACATAGGTGTCCCTTCAAGAGCCTCCCCTGCTTCCAGCTGCTTCCCGCAAGTCCTTTCTTCCCTGTTTGCCCAGAATAAGACGCTAATAAGGCCTTAGTTGTACTTGTTTGTATTGTGAATTTGTCAACAAGCGCTTTCAGGGACTCTGTGGATGCGGGTCAGGGCGTCCAAAGACAGTCTCTCCATGTAGTAAAAACCGCCCGGCCCTGCCATGATGGTAGGTTCTCTCTAGGTTGGGCGCCTGCATCGAGTTGCTCAAAACAGCATCTTGTGTTGTCCCCCGTTGTTCCTTTCAAGGAGCCCATTTGTAGGTTCCAGGCTAGTCGGTTCAGAGGGTGGGACTTTGTCGAATCCCCTTGGGGCTGGGTACTTAGAAAGTTCCTGGCAATGGTTGTAACCAACGTGTCTTAAGTCCCCTGCCCATCCCTTCCAGCAGGTTACAACAACGGTTACTTCCCGCGTACCATTTACCGCTTGGCCTTGCTAGAAATACTTGGAGCTGTGTTTGGGAGTGACCCTTTTTCGGGAACCAACAAGGAAGGCCAACCGGGAGTTGCCGCTTCTCCAGGCCACCAGGGTTGGGCGAAAGACACGTTGGCCAAGCAGACCATGAAAGGGACACCAAAAGAAGGTTGTTTAAACAATTGTGTTAGTCTCATGGTTCAAGCAGGCTGAAACGCCCAACCCTGCAGGCCACTACCCCCAGCACGACTTGTGCTGCCAATACAAAGTCACTTTTGTCAAGGATATATATATATATATATATGTGGTACCCCCCCACCCCCAGGGACCTACCTTTTTGATGAATTCACTGGTATTTGCAGTGTTTTTTACCCTTTTTTCGGCTTTGGGGAGAGCAATGAAAAAAACGCATTTCCAAGGACGTTCTGGAAGCTTCAGGCTAGATTGAAACCGATTTTATACCGATTTAATTTAAATCGGGCATGGATTCAAGATTCAACATTCAAGAATCCAGGCCAAACTTTTCCAGGGATTCTTGAATTCAGGCGTCGATTTAAACCGATTTAAACCGATTTAACTTAAATCGGGCATGGATTCAAGATTCAAGACTCCCTGGAAAAGTTTGGCCTGGATTCTTAAATCTTGAATCTTGAATCCATGCCCGATTTAAATTAAATCCGTTTAAATCGGTTTAAATCGAGACCCAAATTCAACATTGCACTTTGCGGCCCACATTCAAGATTGCAGGTCAAAGTTTTCTAGGGAATCTTGAACCCAGGCTCAACAGAAATTTCAGTCGGTCTCAATGGGTTTCACTCGGGCCTGGACTCGCGTTTGCAAAGAAGACTTGTCTAGAGAATATGGGTTCTTTCCTTATCATATCCTGTTAAAGCTCATATTGAATTTCAAGTATATATTGGGACAGGAACTCTATTTAAGCTCGCAATCTCAAATTTGATTACCATTAGGATTCTGACCAAATATTTTCGTATTGAGTCCCAATTAAATCCTGTTCAAGTTCAAATGAGCATTTAGAGAGCGTTCGTTGGTGGAGATGTGAATTGAGTATGAAAAACGCTACACAACACTGTGTTTTACGGTGTTTTCTGATAAGGTAGTGTTAGGACTAGTGAAAGACACAAGTTTGGGACCTTTGGATTCTTTCCTTATGCATTCCACTTAGTATGTTTTATCAAATGCGACCTTATTTCTGATTGAAATTCAATGGAGCTTAAGAAGGACATACTCCAGCCAAAATTGCGATTTAGATTCGAACTTAAATATTGATTGTTTATGTCATAGACCATTGTACATTGAAATTCAATCACTTTCAGAACTAGCTAGTCCTAGTTTGGTCCTAGTCCTAGTTGGGAGATCCTTGGTTCTAGGCCAAGTATGGTCCTAGCTTACTGAAATACATAGAACGTATAAAGGATATTACAAAGGAAGTTCGTTATGAATTGTATATAGTTAATATATTAGTCAAGTTCTATGCAACTTCTAGCTGAACAGTTGAATTTGAAATAAGGATAATATCCAGTCAGAATTTACATGTTAGGACCAAATATTAAACAATACTTCTTTTCCACCAGAATGTAATACTTGACATCCAAATACTATAAGAAGTAAAATTAAATGGTCTAGTCCTAGTTTGGTCCTAGATGAGAGATCCTTGGTTCTAGTGTTAGGTTGCTCCCTAGTTTACTACAATAATTAGAAAATATACAGGACATTGCAGAGGAAGTTATACTTGAAGTTCATTTTTTGTAAGAATCTGAGGTGGGTCGTTTAGTCCTAGTTTGGTCCTGGTCCCAGTTGAGAGATCCTGGGTTCTAGGCAACCAAAAGGTAGGTCCCTGGGGGGCGGGGGTAGCATATATATATATATACATCTAGCTATATATATATATATACACATGCCTCGTTTTCCATGGGTTTGCCACCTCTTTTGGGGCAGGGTGATGTTTCACGGGGAACTCCTGGGAACCCTGAGGGGTTCAGAGATATGCCAGTATATAGCCACAATATACAGATTGGTTTCCTGATTTTCTCATGGTTACAAGGACCCTTTTTGTTGGTTCTAACCAGATTACCAACTTCAAGAGCGTTCTGAGGCAGGTTCCAGGTGCCATCGACAAGTGTTGGTATCGCTTACCCCGGACGAAAAACATTGGGATTCGGACCCTCAGCTTCTACCCTTCTTTCCTTGGCGACAAGTCCCTTGTCCACTGCCCCCAACCCCCTACTTTCAGGGGTTAGTGGGATATCCAGCCCCGTTTTCCTGGGGTTTTGCAGGCCACCTGCTGAAGTGCCAGCGCTTCTGCTACCGCGCGCTGCACCTCGACCGCGGCGGCGCGGAAGAGGTGCGCCGAGAGACGCGGGCCGCGGCCGCGACGGGTTCCCGCGCCGGTGGCGAGCCGGGCAGGCGCAAAGGGGGGAGGAGGCGGGGGAGAGGCTGGGAATTTCAAGAGGGAGTCCTGCCAAAATGGTTGGTGGACAGAAATCCTCACCAAAGTGACGTCCACCAAAGGGTACCCAATCAGAATCCATACCCACTTGGCCAAGTGGGTCCCTTGACCCCTTCGAATCATGGCTTGACCAACCATGATTGGGCGTGGCTTAAAACTTTAGAGCCAGGGACCGTTGGTTTTGGTCTACTTTTCTATTTCCAATAACCCATAGTTTTGAGCCACACTCATTTGTGTTAATTACGTAACTAGGTTCATTAACAAACCTGGGCTCGCTCCCGGAGTTCCCCGATAAACCTTTGGCAAAACCGTTTTAGCGGCAAGGAAGCAGTTTAGACCGTTTTCGGCTTCCGATCTACTTAGGAAGAGCCAAGGATTGTTTGCTTTGTGGGTAGAACGGGTTGTGGGTAGAACAAGGGACCCTTAAGGGAAGTTGATGTGTTCAGGAGTTTTCGATCTGATTTTGGAGTGGTTTTCCTTGAAACCACCATTTGCAGTCGAGGACAATTTTGAGGATGTTTGAGGACCCGAAAAGGTCAGGAACCCTACGACTCTATCCTGGACAATGCTGTTTGGGAAGTCCAGGGTTGGGCAAATTTGGTGTTAACCAAGAATCTACGTTCCTCTTAGGAGAAGCCTAGATGACGATTTGAATGGGGAGCATGTCAAAAGCAGGTGGGTTGCCACTGAATGGGAAACAACAAGTTTGGGCTGAGAGGAAGTGAGACCAACCTCCCCACTGACCCGCCCAAGGGTTGGGTCTTAGGAGGAATTTGGAATAAGGTCCACCAAGACCTTGGTTTGAACGGGCGGGCAGGGGTCACGGGACAGGGATCCTTGTCTCTGGGCGTCTCTGGGCTGTTGAAGGTTCCGTTGCGTCTCCAAACGGGGTCCGCGTTGTGGATTCCAATAGGGATCTTGCATGAATTTCAAGAGAGAACCTCTTCAAAAGTGGTTGGTGGACATGGATCCCCAGCTAAATTGTGTCCAACCAAAAGTCCTCAATTAAACAAATACCGTGAATTGGCAAACTCCTCATTTTGAACGGGCTATTAGAATTCCCTAGGTTTGTCTGAAAATGCAATGTTTCCCTTTAGGGTTTGCCATTAAACCAACTCAAAAAGATACTATCCCAAAAGACAAGCCCATACAAGCTCTTGTGGCTATCGGTATGGCTTTGTCAGCAGATTTACTTGTCAGTTTTGTGCCAACTCCGTGACAAGATCGAGCTACCCTCCCACAAACAAAGAATTCTACTGGCTTCTTTTGCAAAAGGGGCATTAGTTATCCAGGAGTGTTTGCGCATGTGCATGTTTGGTGGACGCTTAGGGTGTGTTTTCTTGCAAGCACCACCTTTCGGGTGGGAGAGCTTGACACTGATCTTCGTTGATTGCTCTCAGCTGCGCGCCTTCTATGCTTGCGGGGCATTGTGGCGAAGCAGGCCCCATTGAAATACGACAGGAAGGTGAACCCAGACCTGAAAGGCAAAGCTCGGAGATGTGCCCTGCAGAAGTTGTACGAAAAGAGGAGCCGGCCAGGGAGACAAAAGGAAGGCAGCAAAGAGTACGAGAAAGGGTGCTAAAGGCAAGAGTGCGTATTGGAAGTTGGAAAAGGCTGGCGTCGTGGCCCTTTCCATCACCGTGACGCGAGCAAAGTTCTGTCAAGGACATTTGGCCTTAACCAGAAGGACAAGGGTCGTTTTATCCTGTTGCAGGCCCGCGAGCACAGAAGGCTTAGCCGCACTACCGGTGGGCTGCAGATCAGGAGACAGACCGCGCCGCGAGTTGAGAGGCTACAGCCGACAAAAGTTCTTAGGGCCAGCCTATGAGTTTTGATTCATCCTTCCCATAGTCACCGATCATCCCTCCCAGAAGGAAAAGTCTCAAAGAAAGCCACCCCTTTTTGGGCCTCCCCATCTTAGAGATGTGGGTTTCCTTCCCATTTGATGTCTCTTGTGTTCCAAGGAATCCCACTGAGGTTGGTGATGTTCAACCATGTTCCTACTTCCCGGGGTCTTTGGAGCAAGCTTGTTTAATGCCGTCCTTTCATCCCCCAATTGGCACAAACAGGCTGTGTAATTCATGGCTATACCGATGGGTAGTGAGTCAATGGGTATATATGTATATATATATACACATATGTCAGGGGCACATACACCGAGCCATGTTTGTTGATAGGTACTTCGGGCGCATGCCGTTGAACCCTCAGATTCACAGGATCCAACCCCTCGTAAAGGCTGCAAGTTGTGGTCAATTCCTTAGGGTAGGGAAGGGCAGCAGTGCTTGGGGAGAAGCTACTTACTAAGTGGCTAGTAACCATGGTTACAACCCATTTACAGGGGAATACCACTCGGGTGAGTGGGTTGCAACCGTGGTTGTTCAATTTGATTGAATGATCACACCTGAGCGTGGTGGGTTCCGAAATGTTAGAAATGCACAATCCGGATTGCTTCCCAACCTAAACAACCCCGAAAACCGCCTTTGAAACCCGGTTTTCATCCTAGAATAGACTTCTGTTTAGAAGCCGCCCCCTTCCCCTGAGTTTTTCACATTTTTTTGAACAAGAATCCATTGGGTGCGGCTCGACGGGTGAAACAATCACCTCCGCAACGAGGCTGGTGCTGGGCGGGATGGGCGCCCTGGCGCAGCTGGCGCCCCCCCAGCGCAGCACCGCAGAGGCGCTCATGGCGTGGCTCGCCAAGGCGAGGTCGAGGTCGAGGTGCCGCGAAGTCCTTTCGATGGTTGAAGCTCTGTTACTTTCAACTGGATCGTTGACCCAACCAGTGAAGCTCGAAGGTCCAGCCGCTGGCCTCTGATTTCCAACTTGTGACACCAAATTGCTCCCTCAATCGAGTATCAGTATGGTATAGGCAGCCTACTTTCAAGGATGCCTTCAGTGGTTCGGCCCCTTAGCCCTGATCCCTGTTGATCCCTGTAAAGCCCCGTCAAGAGGTACCAACCCTTACTCCAAAGAGTTACCTGTTTGTCAATTGATCTAGTCCGAAATCGCAGGGGTCAGGGGTTAACATGACACATCAGGATTGGGCCAACTGCCTGTTTAAGCCATGGATTCAGTGCCTTTTGGTTCAGCAGCTTACTTTTAAGGACGCGTCTTTTGGTGGGGCCGGTGTCTATTTGTTTCCACACTTTGTGTTCCTTCGAGGGTGCCAAATTTGAGTCAAATTTGGCAATTGTTAGTGGGTTGCTCCGGCCCTTAATAAACAGCTTCACCCCTAAACCCCGAGGCTGCTCACCCCTTTTTGCTGAAGTTGATCAATGCCTCATAGCCTCAAGGAGATCCATTGGCAGCTGAAAGGAACAGGGCGGCATTCACGGTGCCAGTTGTCCGCTGTTCAAAGTTGCCACAGCCCACGTTGTTTTGCCTGAGATGAAACATCAATCAGTCAATCCTAGGCTGAATCAGGTGGAGGGTCCCACCCAAAAGTGAAGGAATTTGGCTTAAACTGGGACACCACGTATAAATCAACCGGGGTTTGTTAGTCCTGGGTTCCCCATATGGCAAGCCCGCTGATCAGAGTACAAACACCTTCCCAAACTTGGAGCATTTTGTATATTGCGGACAGGTTAATGTTTGTTCAGGCCAGTCAGAGCCTGCCTATGGAAAGCAACTCTGGCTTTGAATCTTGTTGCTTCGGCATTCCAATTGCAATTGGTCATGTGTTGTTGCAGACGGCAAAGGCGACGGAAAGAGGTCAACTGGGGGTCCTTACCTCCACACAGGCTCTCGCGCGCATCGCGCGATGCGTGAGAGCTTCGCGACGGCTTCTCCGGGATGCTCGGCGCCAGGCGACGGACACGGATCGCCGGGACGGGCATGGGGACTTTGACGATTCGGCGGAGGAGATGTCGACAAAGCTGATGGAGAAGAAGGATCTTCCCAGCCCCGAGGTTGCAAAATTACAGTGCAATTTGGGTTCCAGTTGCTGGCAAGCACTTGGCAACGACGGTGAACAAGCCCTTTGATTCTTTGTTGAGGGTTGCAAAATGACAGATTTCTTTCCGGAACATTCAGAGGCTCCCCCGACCTAGCCTGTGCTGCAGGCTTCTAACATTCGTATTTCAGGTTTGAAAAGCAGTGTGCACGGATGGCTAGTTGATGGTCGCTTTGCTTGCTCGGGGAACCCCTAGGATGCCGTTGGGTTGCATCTACTTTTGTATGGAAGATTGTACGTATTTGTTCCCACTAACCTCCAAGAAGTTTAGCATTCTGGGCTCGGGGGTTCTTGCCTTCAAGGTTCAGTTTCCATTTTTGACCTTTTAAGACCCTGCCGCCCTTGAACCTTTTTATTTCGAGTACGAAGTGGCTTACTCGCAAGGGGAGCCATGGGAATCCCATCCCTCACATCTCGACATCTGAAGCCCGAGGCTCGCCTTCGGGTTTCGTCGAGTGGCTGGCGCGGCTGCCCAAGGCCACTGAAGCCACCGAGGCGACCTGGGTGATCGAACGATGTCGCGTTCCCAAGATGCAGCGATCTGATGTTTCCCTGTGGGGGGTCCTTTTCTTAAGGGGAAATGTAGGGAATGTAGGGAGATGCGTTTGAAGGGAATCAGTTCCCTAAGCGCTATGTAGTTATTTATATATATATACATACATAGTGTGCCTCGCAACAAAACATGTAACCAGCATCAGAAATGCCCGAAACACAAGGGTTGTGCTGCAAGGGAAACTGTAGCTACACATAAATTCACAATTGCTCTAAAGACCGGATGGGCACGCGGATCGAGTTTTGAACATGGTGTGGTTTCCCGAACAATCCAGACTTGACGATAAGAGGAGAGAGGGATAAAGAGGTAGATATATGGTTTATCCAAGGAAACCCACAAGCTTTTCATTGGCCCAACCAATGTTGAGAAGACACTCTCTCCAAGAGTCAAATGGGACGACGGGTTTTGGGGAAGCTTTGAGCGATATGGGGAAGACGTGGAATGACTTGTCCACCAGACAGCGGATTTATAACCCGTCTCTGCTTTGCAACCAGTTGTTGTATCGTTGCGTTTTCAACTTTAGTCGATAGTCGTACTTTCATCATTCCAATCCCCCAAGGAACGTGTTAAAGGGTGGCCAGGGGACCCAATGCCTCAATAGGGATTTGTCCTTTTTGGTTTGTCCCCGCGCCAGGTTTTGGCGTATGATTCCAGGCTGTGTACGGAAAGGTTGTCCCTTGTTGGGATAGATAGTTGTTGTTTTTCCGCTAGTGGCCAGAAGCCAGTGTATATACATAAATTTATACGATATGTATATATATATATATATACAGATATGTTTACTACATGTTCACGTATGTATATTCTCACACACACACACACGAGCTTATATCTATTTGAGCACATTAAACTTATTAAGCTTCATGTACGCCTTGTACACTTGTACATTCGTACCATGTGTTCTAGATGCACTTGGCAGGCCGTGAAGCGCCGCCGCGGGTAAGCAACTGCTGCGATGAGATGCCGATCGAGGTGGAGGCGTGGGCCATCGTTTTGGCGTGATACCAACCAAAAGTGGCTCTAACATTTTGAGAAACTCTCTATATAGTATATAATTTCTTGGTAGACATAACCCACCAAGGCCATGATTGTAAGTCCCCTAAATGGGACATACCAAGGAAGAAACTCCTGTGCTCCTGTGCCACGAATAGTCGCTATTCAGCTTTAATGGCTGCCCTGCTATGGCTCTACATCAGTACATGAACAACGGATGTGGCCTTGAGGCGCCCCAATTATGGGCCATGTGCCCTAAAGCTCCGGACGAAGCTTGCAGGCGACTACAAACCAGACTCTGAGGCAGCAAGCGCTGCTCGGGCACTCAGGTGGACTTAGGGGGCTGATGGTGTTTGATTCATTTGGGTGGTTGGCTTTTTGGGAGTTGGTGCTGTACCCTTTTAAGGGTTGCTTGGAAGCAGTAATTGGAAACCAATCTTTTTTTGGGTCCCCAATTTCACGACACCTTCTTGGGGGCGACATGGGGCAGACACCCCAAATGAGCTATGAAGTTATGATCCCTGGCTCATTCGGGTGTTTTCAATGAGCTTGGAACCCCCTCCACAATGTTATTTACCAAGGTTGGGCGACGTGTTTTTCCATACCCTGGCCCGTTACGAAAGGGGGCCAAAGAGAGCTTACTGAGGAAAGGCCGGAGTTAAACACATGTATTTCTTTGGGGGGGTCTAAAGCTGCGATAGACGCAGTGTGGGTCAACATGTTTTCGGCCAAACGCCCAGTGAGTCTTTGCAAGGCTTTGGGTAGAAGATAAAGGGGCTCTCCACCAAAGAATGAATGGTTGCGGAAACTTGTTTAGACTTGTAATAGCCACTCGACGTCGTTCTGAGACGCCGTCAGATTGCCGTATGGTTTAAAAGCAAGCACTGAGAAGGCTGGGTTCACAGACGGGAAGCAGCGAGCCCGTTGCCGGGCTCGCCAAAGACTGGCTGACAGCCACGAGTTGGACACAACAAGCACGAGGGAAGGCTGGCGATGGCTCGTGTTGCTGAACTCAAGCAGGAGAGAGGCACAGCACTTCAGCAAGCATACAGCAAGGTACCGACTACTGTACATGCGGATGGAAGGTTCTCAAGCAGGCCGAAGGAGCCACAAGAGCACCTGCTGCTTTCGCACAGAGACCTCTGACTGCACGCGAGCCCGCTAAAATGCCCTCGGTGCAGCACAAACGGCTGGCACCAGCATGTCTTCACGACCTTTTGCAGTTTCGACTGCCACCCTCCTGTGGCTCACCAAAAGGATGACTCACGGTTGCTGTGTAGGAAGCCCAAACCGACATCCTCAGTCTGGCTTTGGAGACTTGTCCAAGCAGGGGTTTGCTGCAACTCTGCTGTTTACATTTGTTTAAACAATTCAGTTGATTCTGTCCAGATATGATGGTTTCTGAAAAGTGTGTTTGTGTGTGTGTGTGTGCGCGTATACACGCTCTGTGTGTGTGTGTGTGTGCGTTTACTTTATCATTTTCCTGTCCAAAACCAAACCCATATGTATTGCCTTTGTAAAGTGTGATCGCAACCAAGATCACACTTTGAACTTTCAAACGCCTAGGTGTTGCACCATTGCACAATGAATCCCAGCTACCCCAATATGAGGTAACCGGTCATTTGTTTGGCTGTAAATGGGTTGTTCTCTTGGTTACCTACCGTACCGGGAAATGGACTACCTGGTTCTGCAAAAAGAGTTTCTGCCAGGCGGGCGAGTTGTCGGACTGAGGCCCTCCGGCCCTTTCCGCGCCTGTGATCAAGCATTTGCGGAGGACTGGCGTTGGGTTGGCAACTGATTAGGTTGAGGGATGCGCAAATTAGCCCAATCGTGATTCGTAAGGGCCACATAGGCTTTCAAAAACAAGGACCGCGCTGAGAAAATGAGGTGTGTCAGAAGCCCCCGAAGCCAAAGCAATCATCCCATGGAACGTAAGACCCAGTGGAATGAAGATTAGCAAGGGATAGTCCTAAATATGAATAGGTGCCCTTTTTGATTGGAGTCCTGATTGGAGTCCTTAGCAAGTCTAAAGTCTCTATTGAAGGGTTGATGCCCATCCCTAGCCCATGCACAGAGATTCTTTGACCATTTGTTGCCTTACGCGTTACTACAGTCATAGTCAAAACCTGGTCTTAAAATGGTCTACTCAAAACTAAGGGCAGCAAAACATTAAAAGCTGTGCTTTCTTTGATGGTGTCTTTTTTGGTCCTCTTGTTGCGTTTGTTTGATGGGGAAACCAAAGGGTAAACAACCAAGACGGAGTCTCCGATTTTAAGACATGCCCATGGAAGGTGAATGAGTGAAGGCCAAACAAAATCCGTAGAAGCTCAATCAGAACCTCGCTGGTGAGCTTGGTTTCCGTTCCTTATCCTGCCAAGCAGTCCACACCCAGGGAACAACGTAGGCACATGATCTTCCGGGGTCCAAACTTGCTGGTTGACGGAACCCTGGTTGTGATCCGAATCGCCCAGTCTACAAACGAAACCAACAAGAAAGCAACCTGGAGGGGTCGAATGCTCAGACCAGCCACCCCCTTGGATCTTTTGGCAACAATTTGATCTTTCATCCTTCACCTGCTGAAGGTTATCATCTTTGTGCGGGGGCTGCAACTTCCCTTCTGGACAAATCACGACGACGTCACGTTTCGGGGGTTTGGGACGACGCCATGAGTCATGACAATGAAGATTTCGTTCATAGGGATCCCGTATCTTCGGTTGAATTTTGCTCGTGTGCGAAGTTCTTGATTTTTGTTTGGCTACCTTGCGTGGGGGCTTTCAGAGCTCACATGCTGTTCGGTCCTAGACTCTGGTCCATGTGGCAGGGACCAGGGGGGACTCACTAATTTTCAGTCGCAGAAACCAGGCGACTCACTATTTTCAGTCACAGCCAGGCCACAAAACCAAAGAGACTCACCAAATTTCCAATATCCTGTTCGGGAAACCTTCGTAATTTTGACAGTGGCTCTGCCAGACTCAAGCTCAATGACTCAAGAAGCCCTCCAAGATCTGAGCGCTGGGTCGACGTCAAGTCTCGTGACGAGCTCGAAGCCGGTGACGAGTTGACAAAAGGTGCGGAGACGGGGGGTCAGGGGGTTGGATCCTACAAACTCGGACGGGATCGATTAAAGAAATATCCGTAGACATACACTCTCAGTGGTTTAAAGGGCCTGCCCACCCCTGAAACCAATTTTGTGATATGAAATGCAACCGCTTCAGGGGGAGTGCAAGGATTCTTCACCCCTACGCCTTGAAATTCGCGCTCCAAGTTACCCGCCCACACCTTTTCTCATGCTCAGCAAAGTTTTAGAGGCATCCGCAAACAACCACAGGTGACTGCCTTTTTCTGTACGTAGCAACGGTGCTTACAGTGGCTTAAAGTGATTGCTGTTTTAGAAGTTGGAATTCAGCTGAACCAAGACAGACATCGTACCTCCAGATCCAATGTTTGCATGCTGTTCTGTGTTGACCGAAGGCACAAATACATTTATATATATATATATATGTATATATATATAGATATACTGAGAAGCGTGCCAGCCATGTTAGGATTCTTTCCCTGCGACATCGTTGGCAGCCCGGGTCCTTCATGTTGCGTGATGTCGGAAAAAGATGATCCCCCACCTTTTTTCCGAAATTCTAGGCCCCTTGAAAAGCCACTGCTTTCCAATGTTTGTAGGGGATACCTTTGTACGGACTCGTGTGGGGGGTTTGACTCCTGTCCTGCACGTCAACCGATCTGAAGCCATGGCGCGGTACGGCAGCGTGGAGCCAAAGCCCCACTTCCTGGCGCGCGGCCCAGAGATGAGGGCCTCCTGGGGGTCTTGGCTCCTGGGGGTGGGTCTTTAACGTTTGGCTTTGGGGAAATGTTGCCTTGCCCACTGAATTTCCTGAACAAGTCCACTTTTTGGACAGGGAATATAGCCATCAAGCTCAGAGAAGCCATCTTTGAAGAGGCTTGGAGACACCCTCTTTGCAGCAAACATGCAAGTGAGCATAACGCCTTGTAAGGATGCTTGCGGTCTTCCAGAACCCTCCGGTGCACTTCTGCGATTGCTGAACAGAGAGTGCATAGAGTCTGGGCAACTTGATTCACCTAAATAAGTTGACCGCCCCACAACGAAGATGTTCCAAAGGAGATTATGCATTTTTATGTCTTGGACTCTTGAAGGTGACCCTGAAAAGGAACAGAAAACACCACTATTTTTGATCCAAACATTGGACCCTTTGTTTTCTGAACAACCCTCAAGTGCTACCCTTGAGGAGAGACAACAGGGCTTCCCGAACAAGGTTCTGGGAGCCTTTTTAAGAACCCCTTCGAGCAAGGTTTCTCGGGGTGGGTGGGGGCTGTTGGCTGCTGGCCCTTGTGGTCCTTGTAGCCCATAGGAAATTCCTGAGCCGTCCCCAAGAACTTGACTCGAACCTTGCCCAATTTGGGCTTTCCAGCCCTTGGTTACTTCAAGGAAACCAGACTGGACCCTGCCGGCTTTCAGGCAAGGATAGCAAGTGAGCAGAAATGAATGTTGCCATTTTACGACAGACCCATGGATCGCAAACGAGCCGATTGTTTGGGTGGTTTCCCAGGTTTCCCTTTGGTTCTTTCGTTGCCTAGCCAGGAAACAAATTAAGGGCACTCCAACTCAACGCGGCACAGTACTTAACTGATCGCCGCTGAAGCAGGTTGCGTGCCAGGCCACGCGAATCAAAAAGCACATTCAAAGCGCCCTGAACACGAGTTCCGTACCCTTTGATGAGCTGGGCAACCACGCCAAGCTCCAAAAGAAACACAATTTTTAGACCAGCCCTAAGTGAGAAGAGCATCGCTCTCAAGCCGCTCAGGGTCAGACCTCTGGACTTGGCTCCTTTAGCAGGAGCACCTACCAAAGCCTGGGGGCCTGACAGCCGAGCCGAGCGCTTGATCGCTTGCTTCCTCCGAAGGTATTTGGACTGTTCTTGAAAGAGAGATAGCTTACCCCAAAAAGGGACGTTGACCTGGTCCACGTTGTGTAACAAGGGCACCAACCAACTTCCAAATTAGAAGTTTCGCGCACCAAAAGTCTATGAATTGGTTGAAGGAGATGTCCACCTTACCAGCATACCCCATAAAAGAGGCTGCCATGCAGGATTGCCAAGCCTACTGGGCCGGGGGGGGGAGGTTCCCTTGAGCATTATCCAACATTGCCAGACTGAAGTCACCTTTTTGTCCCTCTTAATTCTCCCCTTCAACCGGCATGGCAGCACAGTTGAGGTTCGTGTCAAGGGTAGACCTCCTCGGAGGGGTTCAGGATTCTCCTGTTGTGCCCTGTCTTGGCCAGTAGGACTGCAATAGAAAAGTAAAAGGAAACCGTGTTTTATATATTTCAAGGCTGGAGAGGGCCATGATTCATCAGCGGGGATCAGCGGGGCCTTGTATTATTAGGCGGGGGGACTGGCTGTATTCAACGAAGCATTGGCAACAGCTTTTTAATTTGGACATGTATTTGCATGTGTTGGATTTTCTCTGGGAAAGATTAGCCCTGATTGGAGGGTTTGTTCGGGTTATGAACTGTTTGAAGCATTTATTGGAGTCTGCCAAAATAAAACAAGGAAACAAATACAACTTCAATAATTTAGAAATGCAGACCACATGCAACGCACAAAAAGGGATCTGATGCATATTGTGATGTTGCTTTGTGCATTTGTTTGTATTATATCATGTTTGCTTTTTGACCTTGCATTTGTTATGCATTTGTTGTGTTTTTTCCAATGAAATCTCATTTCGTCCGTGATGTCCAGTACATGGGCCGAATTAAGGACATAATTGTTGGGGTGAAGCACAACATAGTATGGGGTGACTAAGTGTTCCAACCTTGTAAAACAGAAAATGGTCTTGGTGGGTGGGAGCAGGTTAGCTTCAGTCATTAGTCAGGGGCGAATTATTAGTCCAGAAACCAATGTCCCCAGCCCTGCGTTTTTGGGGGCGAACCACAACTCAAAAACCTCAAGAAAACAAACAACTACCAAAAACAAACAAACCTAACGCTGCCTCACATGTGAGGGACATGTTTTGGTATGACGGGGGAGAACCAAAGCACAAAAAAACTTGAGAAAACAAAAAACAAACAAAGATATGAGGGACATGTTTTGGTATGACGGGCTTGCCTTGCGAAAAGTAGTTGTCTGGAGGTGTTTTTGGTTTTCTCGAGTTTTTGGATACTTTGCCACAGATTCTTCACAGGGCGCTCAGATTTTGGACCCAGCACCGAGATGCAGATCATGGAAGCAGTCTGAAAGCACGCTGCGCACAGTGTGTTTGCTAAAGATCTTCTTGGAAAGTGAAGATATGCTGGGTTAATTGGCGAGAGGGGAGGATGGCCAATTCATATCTGACCTTATGACCTTTCCATCTCTTGCCTACATCAGTCTCTCTGTCATCTCTATCACTAACTCACTTCTCAGAGATACCTTCTGCAGCTAATAATTGGCCAGCGGCAACGCTCACCGATTTCAAACCTCTATCTTACTGTTCTCCCTTTCATCTCTATTCCTCACCACCTACAGCTTCCTTGAAGATGAGATGGGGGTGGAGGGCGGGGCAAGAGATGAGAGAGAAGGGAAGGAGATGGATTGCCATCCAACCATTTCGTTTCACTTCGTCATGTCTTAGAATTCAGAATGTCTTTCATGTCATCTGGGTTCTTCATTCTAATTATCTGTCCTTTGTCTTTATGTTTCTTCTTTCCTAGCCGTTGCAGGCGACGGTGAGAATGGAAAGGAGAAAGGAAATAGATGAAGAGAGAGATAGGGGTAAGAGGTGACAAGAGGAAATCCCACCCGCTGGCCAGTTCTTTCCAGCAGTTACAAATTCCTCTTCCTTCACCTCTATTCACCTTCTCTTTCCCTCTCTCTTCCCCAATTCTAAGTTACTTTGGGAAAGGGGGGGAGGTCAAGAGAAGGGAAGTGAGTGAAAGCTAGACGGGCTGGAATGTCTCTATTGTTGTCCCAGCTCTTGGTCAACCGTTCACTCTCTATCTCTTTGCGAATCATCTTGACCTGTCATTCCAATTCTTTTTGTAATCTTGGGAGTGACATGAGAGGTAAGAATGGAGAAAGGGACTGCAAGAGATGGAAAGCATTTCTGCTTTATATCTCTTAGAATTTGGAAATGCTTTTATGATAGTAGCATCTCTTTCCCTTTCTCTTCCTTGCTTGTCCTGTCTCTTCGCTTCTGCAAGTGAGCACCTCCACCACCTCTTATCATAGGTGATGCTCTCGGCTTCCAAGGCCATGTCTGTGTGCGGATGTTAAAGGTAAACAAGGCTGCGAGACAATGAGGCACTGCCAGATGAGGATGCAAGGCTGCAAATGACAGATGCAGATGCCAGACGTAGTGCCAGATGCAGATGCAAGGGTGCAAATAACAGGTGGAAATGGCAAGGCAAACGCGAGAAAAGGGGGCAAACCGCCAGATCAAGAGTTGAATGGCCTTCTCGTACTACGTGCCATGAACTTGGAATGCAATCAGCAATTGCAGAAGCCAAGGTTCCCATCGCTGCGCGTATTATGCTTCTGACCCCCAACAAAATCCTCTTGTAACGTATCAAAAAAAACAGTCTTTTTTCACGTGAAACACAGGGCTGGGGACATTGGCCTCTCGATTAGTCAGGTCGCAACAGCAATTGCGGCTTACTAGGTTTGTAGACAACGAAACCGAGGCAGCCAAGTTTCCCTTAAACCGCCCGGCCGGGTGTGCCTGCGTTTGGTTACAACTAGTCCCAAGGGGGTCGATCAAGGTTCCCAATATTTCCCCTTTTACAGGCCCCTCACAAAGACAATCACTTCAAGTTGTCGCCAAGAGTGATGTTCAAATCACCCAGAGGATAAATTTTGGGGGCCCCCGTAAAAGGACTGCTTGTTGAAGGTCATACTCACTGCTGTTGGTTTTGACACTCCGTGAACCTAAATCCACTTCTGCCGCGGGACCATCAATAGTTAGGACCAAACCATTTGGCGTCAGGCCACTACACACGCCCCACGGGCGCCACGCGGCTGCGGGACTACGAGCGCAGCCTGGCGCGGCTGGGGCTTCGGCTG